CTATTTGACTGTCTTTAAAACTAGCTGAGAAAATTATCACATCGGCTGTAAAGTTCCTGATAAGACAGCATTTATACTGAACAAGTATATTCAGGACACTGAACTTTACAATATTAATACATTTTAATATCTCTGTCTAATACTTCACTGCCTTCTACCAAAGGGATTTTGGTCAAAGTGATGAATGGATGAAAACTAAGAAGAGATATATGTCCTCTCTTTGGTTAATTTAAACCACTACCAACAACTAGAGAGGCAAAAAGGAGAAGATCAGATTACTCAATACTGAGAGAATCTGCCCACATAGAAATTATTTCTCTGAGATGGAAAAAAAAATGCCTTTGTTGTAGAAAATGATGCAGTTAAAACAGTTAATGATACTGTAACTCAAGTAAAATTCCTCCTTCTCCCCCCTACCCCCCCACTAAATGGTTTGGAAACAAGTGCTGATTTTTTTTTTTCCTTCTGACCTACTTCTTATTAAATTGTATTTAACAAGATTAAGTATGCATTTGCATCAGCAACAGCGTTTCACAGTCAAATGCTGGATGACAGAAAGAGCTAGCTTACTTTCTCTCCAATTCCATGCCATGAATCAGTGAATTAATTTACCAGTGGATGTGGAGAACAGCATCTTGAAGCCTGTTTTATAACCAGCCATCAGTGGTATGCAATGAAATTCTTGTAATGAGCAAATCTATCAGACAGACAAACTGCTCTGGTACTTGGGCATTGGCATTGTAGAAAGCACAATGAGAAGTCCTAATCCCAATTCCTGAAGGACAGTACTTGCCAGTATTGAATTATATGATTTTTATTTTTTTCAGAACACTTCATGATGTGTTATAAAAAGTTCCTTTATTCATGTGAATAATTCTTGTGATAACTTACACAAATAAGTACTTGCTTGAATAAGAGCTACAGAATTGCATCCTATGGGAATGACTTCAGCAGAGGTTTCTAAAGCATTCATCATTCTTGGTGAAAGTCTTAGACTTAGTTGATTGGGAATAATGCAAAATTATGTGCTATTTGCAAATCTTTACTCTCATTTAGCATTTACATACCTACAGCAAGTATCATTCTCAGACTTATTGCAATGAAACCTGAAGCAAGAGAAAAACTTACAGCTTTCACTGAGTGCCCCAGAAGCCCTGAAGTGAATTGTTGGCAGAAGTCAGTCATTTAGCAAACACGGAGAAGTCACCAGTGCATTGTGACAGGGAATGGGAAAGCAGAACAGACCAGAATCTCATTTCTTCTCAGAGCTTTCCAGCTGATGAGTATCAACTGAAATACCAGATTTCCAAGAGGGGACTAGCGTAGGGTAATGCATTAAACTGAAAGCTCTCCACCTCAATAGTTTTTATATTAAAAAAAAAATGTATTTATCAGATAGAGCACTTTGAAAAAAACTCTAAAGGTGAGCATTTGATCTATCTGGGAACACTAAAGAAAAGCTCATTGATGGAAAAAAATTAACTGTTTTAAAAAATTGATTTAGGGAAAGTTCCTTTACGTATCTTTGTTAAATTTAAAGACCATTACTTGGAAGTGTGAAAATCACATTTTGCTTGTCAAAAATCAAGACAATGTGACATCAGAAGTGTTGGGGTGTGAAGCAGTCTACAGGGCCAAGCCCACAGTAAAGAGCTTCAAAAAAAGTAATGAATGCCAAGGGGCTCTGAGAGACAGAAGGGACTCCAAGATAGCTTGATGGCTTGATTACCATGTCCTCACTGACTGAAATCAGTAAAATGCTGTAAGATTTCTGCATTTGTTTTGCAGTTTAATTGTAGTCTTTAATCTCTTAAAAACCAAAGCACAGTAATTCCAAGTATCAGATCCAGGGAATCACCAAAACTGACAATCCAAGTACATGAAGCTGTGTACTTACCATTAGTACCATTCATGCTTCTGTGCCTACATTGATGAATTCATTCCTGGCTCCCAAAAATCACCCTCTGCTGTTACAGACAGAGCTGCAAGTGACATTCTGTATTTCATAACCCTGAGTTCAATATCCATTATTGCTCCTTATGACAATTTTAAAGATTTGTTTTATTTAAGGAAGCTTTTCTTTATCAAAATAACTGTAACAGATGTTTTATGTTCCATTTGTTTTGCTATGTGATAGCACTGCAGAGAGAGATTAAATTAACTCTCCAAGTAGTGTATTTCAAGGGTGAAAATAAATGAGAAGAAATCAAAACATATGTCCAAGGGAAAACCAAGCATCTATTCAAGGGACAGATATTTTTGCAGTACTGACTTTACTGGTTCTTTATATGGTGCCATTGTTTCCAGTGAAAAGTGTGCAACACATTCCCAAGGTCTGAGCACATTATCACATTGGGGATCATGAACTTCAGTTAATACTAAATCTATTCATAACTTACCTTTTTTCTCCTGAATGACAATTCCCATATTCCTCTAATGAACATGTTTTTATGTCTCAGTAATCCTGGTCCAGTGTACAGATTGATAAATACTACAACTAAAGTATTACTGTAGGTAAGGATTGGATTGCATGGCTAGAGTGAAATTACTGTTCATTAAAGAACAATAATAATTTATTTGACAAAATTTAAAAAAAAATTAAAAATCCTGTTTGGAATTTCTTGAAGATGTGTCATGGAAACTGTATTACACTACATACATTTTGATCGACAAGGCTGCCCCAGGAACATTCCTTTTAAAAAGTATGAATAGTAAAAAGATTCTATATTTTAAAGGTTTTTGTATACTGAGTAAATAAGCCCAAACACTGTACGATTTCAGCAGTGAAGTATGTCATGATTTTTGCCTTGCTTGTCATGATTAACAGAACGACAGATCCGCCCACAAGTCACTAGCACCATGACAAACCATGCTATGGCAGAATGACAACTTTTCTCATCTAAATTAAAAAAGACATCAAGAAAATGTCACTGTTCCCATATTGAAGTCTTCTGACAAAACAAAGCTAGCGACACCACAACAGTCTCTCTCAACAGATGCCTCTTACTAAAACTTCAATTCGAGAAAAATGCTTTAAACACAAGATGATATTCTCCAAGGCATTAATCATCAATAGCGATCTTGGGGCTGATTGTATTCTCTGCTTTCCAGGTCTGTATATATGGAGTTATTTTGATTATGTCTGTTTTGGAGAATCAAACAATTTTGAAGTGAACTAGTGGCACATAACTCATTGAAATGTGAACTTGAGAACTTGTACGCTATAGCAATGTAGAATTTTTTTTGTATACAGCACATCTTTGTGCAGAGACCCTTAGGTCCCACATATGAAAAAAAAACAAACCAATAACTCTTAACTGCTTTTAGCAGAGCTAAATACTATTTAGGTTGAGTTATTTTAGCATGGAGTAAGTTCTAACAGAAGGCTTGGGTTTTCTAGACACTGAAGAGTGACTTTAAAAGTGCTTGGTGCACACAGTTAAACTCAGAGATATCAGAAGATAGAAGATTGACATATCAAGACAGAAAATAGACTGAATTATACCAGAAAGTGTTTGGTATATGTACTGGGCCATTGATCTGTACAGAGGGAATTTATGCTAAAAGTAATAACAGCCAGTAGAGATTTAGCCAGCTACAAAAGCTGGGTTGAAGATTTATACTGTTACTTCAGACGAGCATGAGCTCACAGTTAGGGAAGTGGTTAGTGTGAGTTGGTCCCTTTCCTGCCCCTTCAGGCTGAGCTGTTGCTGTGCATCCAGCTGAGCCCGAGCTTCCTGCATGGAGGATTCTGTCCCTGGTGCAGCGGAGTCCCCTGAGTCTGCAGCGTGGTCATTGGCAAGATCTCAGATCTCCTTTTGAATAAAAGGAGCAAAAGGGGTTAATGCAAGTTGTGCAAGGTTGTTTGGGGAGTCTGTGGTAGAGGTGGGGGTCAGATTTCATTTATTTATTTGCTGTCCTTTCTTGCAGTCCTGACCAGGAATGCTCATCATTTTTCATCAAAGAAATAGCTGGTGGTAGCTCAGCTAATCTTATCAGCTGCTGCTCTTGCTTTTTAGGATCAATATAAAGCATTTCCAGGTTCCTGCAGTGAGGTTCCATGGTTTCTTAGCTGTGCTAAGAGGATCCCTGTAGTGTTTCTTAGGTGTGCTCTGAAACCCTGACAATCTGTATCCCTTGCAGTGCTGTCCTCCCAGTGCGTGCATATATATGTCTCCTTCTGAGGCACATATGGGCACGTTCTTCTGTTGTCTTTGCACATTGTTTTCATTCCTTCTCATAATTTATTCATGCCAGTTTGTCATCAAGTATTGTATTTCTGCCCATTCATTATTCAATGGATGATAAAGAAATGGTGTAATACCAAACAGCATGAGGAAGAAATGCACCAGGGACTTGGTAGATTGGGGGTTGTGTGTACAAAATTCAATGAGACATTCCAGTTCATTCCCTGTCCTGGCAAACGTTACTGCTTACTGAGGGGATGATCCTTCCAGCAGTTGTGTGCCAAAATCCCATAGATCCCATCAGTTTCTGTAATGAGGACTTGCAGTTTCAGATCCTTGGAGCACAAGGTTTTCTTTAGCAACCTGAAAAGGTGCCCCAGGCTTCTCTTCAGTCTCTTCAGAGGCAATTGCAGGTGGTGGCTCTGACAATACACCGAGTAACACCTGGCTGCAGGTCTGTAATTAGCAGCACTGATGTGAATAAACCTGTTCACAGCTTTAAAATTCAGCAGATGTACTGGCATTCATAGGCTCAGGACCTGGTTGACCTGGTTGTGTGTGTTTTTTGTGGAGTAGTTGCTCAATGCTAAGGTAAACATCTCTGCTCCTACCACTGCTTTCTTCTGGCTGAAGCAACAAAGCTGAAAAATGCAAAATCCGTATGGGAATGGTAAAAGCTTCAGTAAGTTGTTAATTGTTTAGACAAATAATTTACTTCCATGGATTTCTACCTTTAAAACACTGTATCTTGTTGACCACAACTTTTAAAATGTCTATTTTTCATTCTCCTATGTCTTCTGCTGGATTGGGAAGGTGGACAGCATGGCGAGTCTCCACAACATACACGTTCGCACAGGCTGCTTCTGTAACACTGGAGCCTGCCAGATGCATCTGGACATAAGCAATGAGGACATCCAAAGGAACCTGCAGGTTAGTCTCTGAATGTGGTTAGAAGTTAAGACCTAAAGTGCATCACATCCCATGGTTTTGAGTCTCTGTGACTTTAAATGAAGTTAAATTTGACTTTTTTTTTTAAGCATTTAACTGCTTTACCTTGTTAAGGAACTAATGATTGAAACTCGGCTCATTGAAATGAGGTATTGAAACAAAATCATTTGATGGATGCAGAGAAGTATGTGTTGCTTGTTATTATTTCATCAGAGAATAGCAAACCAATTGTTTGGTTTTGGAATTGCATATCAAGATTTCCAGCAGAATAGAATTTCCTGGACAATTCCCCTCATGTTTTTCTTTAAGTATCCTAATTAATTATTGGACATACTAATGCTCAAGAATTGTAAACCTGTTGCTGTTGGGTGTTACAATTTAAAATACATGTGCAAATTGGACAGGAAACAGTAAAGGCAAATACGCAGTGAATCTCAGAGAATGAAGCAAATTTAGATGAAATCTACTTAGATTACTGGTGTGTTAGATTTTTAGAATATGAATGTAAAGATTGTTTTCAAGATTACTAATGTTTTCCATAAGCTGTCATTAAAAGATGTATAGCAGGATATGTATTACACTGAAGTGGAGGAGGCTTCCTGTCTGCATATTTGTCAGAGTTTGAAATTACAGTAAATTAATTCAGAACAATCAAAAACTTTATTAATGGTGTTCTTTCAAAGGTAAAAAAAAATCTAATGGCTATAATGATATTATAGCTCCCAGAGACATATAGGTAATTTTGCAAGCACATTTACATGCAGGCCTGATAGCACCAGTTCTTAAAGGCTTCTGCAGTTCTTTAATAACTTCCTTGGGAAAATGCTGCTTTGACTTGCCATGGAAGCTCTCTCCTCTGAGAAAACAAAAAACAGTCTACCCTTTTGCTGAAGTGAAAAAGGCCAAATAACCAGCTGCAATGCTCCTGGATCTCCTTATACAAGGAGGATTTTGCTAAAGGAGTGAGTGACTTCTTTTAGGTCTGTGCCATTTAAATGGGGATAGGCCAAAGTTAAATTTGTGGAGAGACACTTAATCGCCAAAGGTTGTATAATGAGGTGGTACAGTTACACAGTCATTATCTGGGGACATTCCACGCCCATCAATGCTTTGAGAAGGATCAGGATGAGTTATTGACAACATTACTGTGTAGAGGGAGGCATCTTTTATCGCATTATTTGCACATATACTTCAGTTTCATCTTTTTCCAGGGTGCTGGCTGTATTCTTCCTTCCCTGATGAAGTTGTACATGATAAAATGCCTGTGAGGGAGGACTTTCTGTCTTCAAGTGTCCCTGGAGAAGTGTGGTTAGTTTTCTTAGAGTGTTATGTAGGAACTCGCTTACTTATTTGCACAGTAGGAACCTCTCTCCTCAGTCAATCAAGCAATACTTGGCAGAAGGGTTACAGAAGGGTATATTAATGCATGCAACCTAATTTTGAAAATATTGCTTCTGCTCTGTTGTCAAGGATGAAAACTACTTGACACTGCATTAAAATATTTGCTACTGTGTTGCATGCTTTGACATAGATGTGGGGTTTTTATTTCTCCTTGCATAAATGGCATCTGTGTTCACTGTCCTGTGACATTTCTTGCTTAAAAAAAAAGACCTCATGTAAATAAACTATTCATGTGTCCATTTTTAATGTGACAGAAATGTGTAAATAAACTAAATTCTGAGAAAAAATACCCAACAGCTGCTGCACTTAGGAAATAGGATGCTGAGTTTGGACTAAATCTTAAGTCCATTGGTGAGCTACTATTAAGTGGATGAACAAAGGGGGACTCTAGCTTGCAGTACTCAATGACTCACTTAAAGAATGAGAAACTTTTTCTCTTAAGGGAGAGTTTTCCATAGAGCCTTGTCTGAGAGACTTGTCAGATGAGTATCTACATGGAGGTCACTATAGGGCATTCAAAAAATTTTTCAACAAAATTTTTTCAAGTGGAAACTTGTGCTCTACAAAGGAGGAAGTGTTGGAGGGAAGCCTAGTTCCCTTTACCCTAAAAGCAATGTGTTGATGGATCAGCAAGACAGATTTGTTGGATATTCCTATGTAACTTAGGATGTCTGAGCTCTAGATTCAAGTCTCTGCTTTGCTGCTATCCCAAATGAGTTAGTTCTCTGCTGTTTGGACTGTTAAACACAAGCCATGATAAAGCCACTGGTGGTATAAAATGGTGCTTTTCTGACTAGTGAATGTTGAGAAAACTTCCCCCAAAAATCAGCCATCTCATGGTTTGTTTTCTTATCTGAACGTAACATCACAGTTTGAATCCCAGTGAACTATGCAGGTGAGACTGGAATATCCCTGGAGATTGTCTGAGCAGACCATCATGGGACATACAACCTTTAAGTGATTCTTTATATGTTTTTGGGAAGTATCTCTTCCCCTAGAATAGAATAGGACAAGCAGCTCAAAATTATCTTCATAGTCTAAGTAAATCATAAGATGATTGAGGGTATTTTCTCTTTGTATTGATGAGTTAACCATCTATTTTTTACAGCAGTTTTTCAGGTTAGAATTAAGACACTCATTAATAACTAGGTAAAATTAGAGAAAAATAAAGCAAAGTATCATGACAGCTCTCTGGTTTTCTTCGTATTTCAAACTAGGCTGGCCATGTCTGTGGAGATAACATAGACTTACTTGATGGACGTCCCACTGGTTCTGTGAGAATATCCTTTGGCTACATGTCTTCTTTTGAAGATGCACAGACTTTTTTGAATTTCATCATAGCCACCAGACTCTCCAACTCGGATGCTGAGATTCCTCTCCAGTCTGTTACAAAGCTGCCGACAGAGTCTGTTCCAGATGACCACCTTTCATTTAACAAGGCAGATGAATTGTCTCCAATACTGCAAATCTCTGACAGAGAACTCGGGAATATTCCATCTGAGGCAGAGACAACTGGCAGCTGGCAGCCACCAGAACCTGAGGCAGAAAGCATGAGGGCAGCTGTTTCTGAGACTGCAGTGCCAACGTGTAGAAAAGGTGGCAAGCCCATCACTGTCGCCAAAATTTACCTCTACCCAATCAAATCCTGCTCTGCATTTGAGGTATGTGCTTTGAGCCATTCAGAACTACTTGTGCAGCTCAGCCTTGTGTTTTTCATCAGACCTGTGTGTATGACATACCAGGAAGCAGGGTGTGGGTACCCATGTTTCCTTTTTTCCAGGTTCTGGGATCAAGTCCCACATGTTAGGCTACCTTGAAGGATTTTGAATTAGGCTGAAGTTACAGGGGAGGGGTAAATGTGTCTTCTGCTCTCCCCTCCCCCACAACTGGCAAATCTGCACGTAATGTGCTGTCTTGAAGAAAATAGTTGGATTTGCAAAACTTGACTAAAATATAATCAAATAATTAGTATGCTTTTACAGAATGACATGTGATGGACTCGTAGGCATTGAAGGGTAGGCAGCAATTGAGAAGTAACTTGATTAACATGTTATAATTGAGAGGCGGCTGATTTACATTACAAAGAAATGTTATCATTAAAAATACATTTGCCACAGAAATATGACATTTAAGTGTTGCTGTGCTATTTGAAAGTTCACTCTTTGAAGATTTTAATTGCTTTTTTACCAAGTTAATAATATCATCACCTTAGCTGTGACTTTTTTTTTTTTTTAGTAATGCATGATGAAATAGGTGTATGGCCCACACATGACCTAGGATGTCACTCTGCTTAGTACCATACTGGGAAGTGATTTAATGAATATCAATAATGATATAACTTTCCTTACGAAAACTTACTGGTGTAGGTCAGTGTCTCACATCTGAGAGAAAATTGGGGTCAAATCCAGTGACGAATCTCCTGAATTTCAAATAGGGTTTCTCAGCTGATTTGATAATGTTTTGTTTTTTTTCTTTCTCAGTGCAGAGTGGTTGGGCAATTAAACACTATTAAATGATCAACCAAACGTCTGTATTTTTAAATTTGGATTGGCTTATGATGTCTTTAATTCAGAGACACAATCCTGAGCATCAAATGAGACCTGAACAAACAATTTCCACCCCTTATTAACCTCCCACTAGATCAAACTGTTTAGAAAATCAAATTAATTGCCCATTTCCTGTGAAAATTTTTTAGCCTTTGTTGAAGTGTTGCAGTTTTCATAGCTGTATTAGAGAAGCCCAGTATGGAAGCTGCTGAAATATGTTGGCAGTACTCATGCACCTTTGGGGTTAAGTTCTGTTTTTGACATGCAGGCTGGTGTTGTGAGATACATGCCACAACATTCAGCACTAGGAAGGCTTTGAAGTGATTGTGCCCAGGAGCAGGTAAGACATACCTCAGCATGAAAGAAAGCTTATGTTTCCCCACAAGCTGAGCCAGATTTCTCCTCTTCAAGCTCTGTGAGGGGAAACAGCTTTAGGTGATAAATTCGCACAAACCTGGTACTCCCCAGCAGACAGGACTGCAGTTCTATATGGAGGGGGGAAATCCCCATGCCTCATGCATAGTGCTTGTGCCAGGCATGTGTTAATGGGCCCCAGAGTGAAAACAGGACTTTTCTTACCTCAGCTTCCACCTCTACAGCTCAACACTATTCTGTAAGCAGTGAGAGATGCATACCTGCTTATTCATTTTAGCATAAAATAGGCATCTGCAGTAGGAGAAATAAATTTTCCTAGATATTTCTGTTTCTTTTCATTGACTGCAAGAGGAATCCAAGGCAACTTGGATTATGCAGCTAACACTAGCTGATCTGAATAATTTAAAAACAGATATAAAATCTGCAACTACATTATGAGGTTTAATTTTGCATGTCTAGAGTAATTTTTGAAGTCTTTTTTGATTTTTTTATGACAAAGCCTCAGCTACATACAATAAAGGTCTGTAATCTAAGCACTGTCAGAGCCTGTATTGCCAAAGAGTAAGAGAAAATTAAATAAATACTGGATTTTGTGTATGGTACTGGAAGGGACTGGAATTTGACTCTAAAGAGCATTTAGCTCTTCTTCTCCTCTACTTAAACAGTCATTTTTATGCATTTCCATATGGTTTCCATGTGGCTTATGGAAGGTACATGAGTGCATGCAAAAGAACAACAGAAGTTGACCTAACAACTGGGAAATTGTTGTTATCCACTGGGAAAGGGCTTTCACTGCATTGGGAGAGCAGGCCAGGAGTTGAAGTCAAAAGAGTATTTTGATGGGTTTTTTATATTGAAGTAAATCCCTGCAAAAAATATGTTTGGTTTTGCAACTTTTCCTGTCCACCAGATGTTCTTCATGTTTTTTCCTTCCTAAAAGTCTGACTGGCACTTCTAGACCTGTCATACGTTTATAACCAGCCTGTGAAAGATCTGCCAGTCTCACTGTCTGCCTGTAGAAGAGATAAAAATACCATCTTACAGACCACCATTTGTAAAATGAACTTTAAAACTCAATTAATCCCATTCTAAATCACCAAGTGGCTTACTCTCTTCCCAATGAGAAAGAGTAGAATAGGAAAGCCATGACTGCCAGGACCCAGACCCTGCAGAGTGCAGAAACTTCCAATATGTATCTGTATATATGTTTTTATATGTCATTACTGCAGCTTCAGCCTGTATCACCTTGAAACAGGAAAACAATGTATGTCACATGCACTGGAGTGTGAAGCAAGACATGCTAGAGAAGAAACCTTACCACAATTAAATGGAATCAAATCCTGGAAATCATTTTGCTTTCTAAAATATTGATTATGCCAGAATCTCTAGGCTTTATCTTGAAAAGACTGAATCATAGCCAAAACTATTCTTTTGCCATTTGTTTAGTGTGTTTTTTTCATAGACTTCTCACTTAACATTTTATTATCTCCTTACTTCAGGAAATGCATAAACTTCTAAAGTAGTTCTAAAGTAATCATGTAGCTTTAGTCTTTGATTGGAATCCAAGAATTGAAAATCATCTAAAATAGCTTTAAATGCTTTGTAGTTGCTGGAAATGTAGAACAGTATTTTCCCAATTAAAAATTTGATCTCCATATTTATCAGTTATAGGGTAACTCCGCTGATGTGAAAAGGTAGAAGTGGTTCAAATGCTGAGCTGTAGTAAATTCATTCACCTTCCAATACGTTGATGCTTGAGATCAGAAGCTCATGGATTTGTAGGTTCAAGTGGAGGCCTCCTGCTGGTATGGGAGGTCAGACCTTTAGCATGTGCTGTAACTAGGTTTTATTGTAACTACATGATCACTTGAGTTTTCCTAAAATAATGTGTGCAGTGGAAAATTCCAGATAACTGTGAGCAGGACTCAGCCCATCTGCCACTGAAATCTGCCCACAGAGTTGCTGGTTGCAGGATAGGTGATTGGTGGCAGGAGGACAAACTTGAGGAGGATGTGAGTGTGAACTCACAGCTGTTTGATCTCCTCTTTAGAGTCACATAATCTCCTCCTCTCCCAAACTCTGATTTTTCTGTTCTATTCTAAGTGGTTTAGTATGAGAGGTTCTTGACCTCCAGAGAAAATGAGAGTGCAGAGTGCTTTGGCAGCTGGGAGGATGAAACTTGGCATGAAGATTGTTAGCTTGCTGCAGGTCAGGTCATTTCTGCAGAACTGTGTGGAGTGTTCCTGGCCACTGTTGTCCCATGGATTTTGTACACATGGTGCAGGAAGCAGAGGGCAGAGTTTTCTAGCTCAGCTTCTCAAATATGTGTTCTTTTCCTACAATTATTTTATTAAATGGAGAAAAGCAAAGGAGTAACCTCCATCCCAGACCACTTTATTTTTTCCAGCATAAAAATGTGTTTTAAACATGCATTTTTAAACAGGAACATCTCTCATGTCGATGACTTTTGCATAATTATATAATGCAATGTGCCCAGTGAAAGAGGTTAGGAATTTAAACTAATAACTAATTAATAACTTTATTATTCTTACAGTAGATTTCAGAGTATAAAAAATTGCATATCAACAGAGAAGACAAACTAGCTTTTAATTCAAAATACAATGCAAATTCCTAGTGATCACTGGATAAATTATATGTAAGACCACTAAAATTTTTAAACTTAGATAATTTAAAGCCTTTTCAGTGATTCCTTTAATGTGTTCAAAAACTGTGTTGGCCTTCATGATGGCATTACTGTGAACTATGGGAGAAATGCAGCACAAAATATTTTACAGAAAAATCTGAAATAAAGAAAAAAACCAAACAACCCCACATGTTTTTGCAGTGGATATTTTCATTTTGTGATAGGAGAAGATGGACTAAAGCAGATGGGACAATACCAAGTACTGGCTGTATTATGCAATGATCCTCATGACAGGTAGAGGAGACCATAAATTGAATGATCCTAGTATGTGTCATCACCTCCCATGCTTGGAATGAAGGTTTATGCTGGTATCTATCAGCTATCTATCTAAAACCATGCACTCCCTGCTTTCCTTCTGTCCTCCTGCTTGCAATTTGTCCCAGTAGCCAGAAATGGCCAGGCAACTTCAGGGAATCCCATTACAGGCTATACAATGCACTATTGCTCACTGCCATGTATGCTAACTGGCTCCATTTTACTTTATTTAACAATCCCTTCAGCCCCTTTGAAATAAGGGCAGGATATGCTCTGCACAGGCCTAGGTGCTGAGAGGAGAAATGAATGTGTTCTTCCTTGGTCATCTCCAGTGTCAGTATTAGCAGCAAACCAGCTCTGGCTGTTCACAGCCATCTGTGACTCTCCATCCAAGGCAGCCACAGTTATTTTGTTGTTGCAACTCCCTTTACCAGGGTCCTAGCAATACAGTGCAATACAGTGAGCTGAAAAGTGGACAGGGAGTTGGGCACCTGACAGTGCACAGAGAACATCCATGACAGGCCTGGGACTCACTGCAGGGCACAGTGTGTGACTCTCACTGCAATGGCAAATACCCAGAGGAAGAGGGAAAAATGGGTTGAGGACCTGTAGTCATGGGCTGCATCACATTTGTGGTTTGAGTGAAGCATGGTGTTAGTTGCCATTTTTTCAAACCTGTCAGAGGTATCTTGAATGGAAGGTGTTGATTATTTCCAAATATCTGCTAGCTAGTTAGCTGGAATTACCCTTTAATGCCTGTCAGCATGCAAGAACTATCTGATTAAAGAGAAGATTTATTTTGCTCATAAAGCCTTTTGCCTTCAGTGAAGGGTAAGCAAATGCTTAAGCTATTTCCTGAAAAAGATTGCTGTCCTGAAGTGGAACCAAAACAACTGAATGTTGCAAGAGGGAACTGAGAAACTTTGTGGTCTTCTATTTTTCTGCTTTTTTAGTTTACTCTGCTTTCAATATCTATCAAATCCTGTAGAGATCTGTTGGATTCGTGGGAGGATGTATTACCAATTAATGATCTTCATTTTTGGAAGGGAGATTTGTTAGCAGGAAATTCTTGCAGCTCTCAGATGATCACCAGCTCTTCAAATGCATTTTGTAATCAAATTATACAGGATAACCAAAAATGCTGGTCTCCCCAAAGAATAATTTCCACTAAGAACAAAAGTGTATTCTTCAGCTGATGTGGCAATCCTTGGGCTGATTCCTCTCCTAAAATAGACAAGGAAAAAGGTTCATATAGCTGAGGTGCTGACAGTTTGAGGTTCTTGGATAATGTGATTTCAGATGACATGTCAGACCTAAAATTTCTATTTATCACAGAATTTTCATCCACTTTATCCAGTTACATTAAAAATTGCTAAATAATATTATAAATCAAGGGGGTTGATAGAACATATTTCTACTCCTAATTTTTATTTTTCTATTTTCTGTATTCAGTATAGTTGGTTGCACTGTGGTGGAATTGTTTTTATTTCAGCTTTGATGCTTTAAGTTTTCAGTTCTACCATGCCTGCCCTTAGCTTTCTATAATCAGGCAGTCGGTGCTGCTGCAGGCTTCTATAAAAACAGGAAAAGTTTATAAGAATGAGATATTTTAGGGTCTGTCAAGTTTTGGGTTGATCACATGATAAACAAAAATGTGATTTTTAATTAATCTAGCTAGTGCTTCCAGACATGCTGTTCTTCATAGCATCAGGCTGTGCTTGACATATCTTTTACTCAATAGGGTTTTGCTGAAATCTTTTGTTGGCTAATCCATGTGAGATGTGCTCAGCTTTTCTATAAGAATTCAACAAAGTTCCACTGTAAACTTTTCTCCCTATTCATCTGTGACTAGAAAGCATATGTGAGCTGAAGAATATGTTGGTGGCCAGCTTTATATTACAAGAATGGTATTAATATTTTAACATTCTGGAGAAGAAAGCAGATATTAATGTCACCCAAAGGCATTACTAAAATTGCTCTCTTTTTGGATTTCAAGATTACCATCTGTGTAGCATCAGAAACAGATGTTCTTTTCACCAGAAAAATGTATGTGAAAGCAAGGACAATATTCTTGTATGGGCTATTGAATGTAAAGGCTGTTATAGACATAATGGAAGAACAGATAGCAAAGAAGACAATGTGTTTTGTTGTAAGGGAATTTAAAGAAACTATTATTCTCCCAGCAAAACCAGAAGCTTCAGTGGCAGAGATTTTCTCGAATGGATTAATTGATAAAGTGGTCCCATTTTATGAAAAACAAGTTTTTTCAGAATTTTAAATTTCACTGTTTTCTTGCTTTCTGTTTGTTTGGTTTTGCCTTAATTCATAAAATTCCCATAAAATTTCTGTGCTTTTTAACTTAAATGAAAATTTCTGGAGGAATAGGTCCTAAAAATGGATGAGTATAAAATTGAAGACATCTTTCAGAGTGCTTCGGAGATTGTTTATTCTTATAGCTCTGTTAAACTGTATGATAATATGTAACAACTTTCAGTAATTTGATCTTTTTTTGTCAGCTTTGTGCAGTGATATCTTTGATGAACAGATTCTTTTCCCTCTCTTCTCTTTTCAGCATGAATCTATTAATGCAGCAAACATTTTTAAACCCTTGTACCCCCTCCTAATGCTTTCCCAGGTTACAGAATGGCCTGTAGGAAACCAGGGTTTGCTGTATGACCGCAGCTGGATGGTTGTAAACCAGAATGGAGTCTGCATGACTCAGAAGCAGGAGCCAAGGTTGTGTCTTGTGAGCCCCTCAATTGATCTGAAGCAAAAAATTATGGTCATTCAGGCAGAAGGTTAGTAAACAATATCCTTTCCTTCCCTTCTTTATTGGTGTCAGATTTCTAGGCAGGGACACCTGCATGCTCCCACCAAACTACTGAATGCTGTGCATCCTTTCTTGTGACTTTAGGGACAAGTTCTGTGCCAGCTGTGGGCAATGAAGCCCTTGGGGGGCTTCCTAACTTATTGTTGGACAGGCAGAGAGTAGACAGTGACTCCCTATGTGCAATCATAAAGGGAATGCTTCAGGATGGAGAAAGGAACAGACAGAAGTGGAAATTTACTGACTAGTGTCTCTCCATAGCATGAAGTCCCACAGCCTGAAGGGATTGTTATTGCTGCAAAGGTAAGGAATAGAAGTCTTAACATTAAACACCTTGGACAAAAACATTCCCATTTTGTATCTCTCTTCATCCTTCCATCTGTGTGATTAGAGGGGTAAAGTCTTCAGTGGAAATTAGGATGAATTAAAATAAGGACCAGACATTATGTAACTCAATTAAATACTTGCACTAGCAGGCAAATATTTTATGATGTTTGAGCTTCCTGGGAATTATCAAAATCCTTTTTATTCACTGCTGAGGGGAAAAAAATGAAAAAAATATGTAAAGTGTTACAGAAAGGCCTTTACTACTCAGGGGTGAAAATTATTTACTTTCATAACAGTGCCATTGCCACTGAACACTGGAACAGGTTTGAATTCCATAGAAGTCATTACTAATGCTGAGATTGCATGTGTCTGAATAGTGTTCATCCTTTCTCTGGGGTCCCACATTTGCTGAGCCCATAATGTCTTAACCACTAATAATACACGTGCCCACATTTTCAGCAGCTAGAGCAAAACAAGGGAACCTGTCTTCAGATTTTTCACCCTTTTTTAGAAATCCATATGAGTGGATCTGTAACCAGTCTCCTTTCTGTGTATACATTAGAGTTGCTGTCATCTCCAACTGTTTGAGCACCCTCCATAGAACTAAGTCTGACTTGTTGATTCTTTTGGTCTGAAATAGGTTTCTCAAATGTACATTTTGATACTTCAACTAATTATCTATTTGCTATTTTCTGTTTCCAATCCCAAACACAAGCTAGTCTCTTCTTAGGGATTGCAGACTTGCCCACTGACACATACACTGCTGCTTTCCTCTCTTTCCTCTGCACTATTTCCTTGAAAATCTATCATTAATTCATTTCAATTCTACATGGAGCACTTTGCACCTCAAATTTCTATAGTAGAGTTGCACAGACAGCCTTCTCCCACAACTTTTAAATTATCAAGTGCTTCAGAACTAATTATTTCTAGAGATTTATTTCCTTACCATCTCGCTTCCTTTCTGACCATTTTGAGCCTGTTCTTTTTTTTTCCTTGCTAGCACTCATTCAGACAAGTGCCTACCCATTAGTATGTTCACCTGTCAATAACACCTGTCAGTAAGACCTGTCATACTTCAGGGAGTCAGGAAGAAGTTTCCCCAGACAAAAGTGACAGTCAAGGCACCCATTTGATCTTTGGGTGAGATTTACTGAGATTTACAATCTCTTGCCACAGTTAGTGCCAGGGTGAAATTTGCCTTTAAATTCTACATTTTACTGTGTGTCTTTTTTGGAATTTTCGCTGTCATTTGCCTTTCCTTCCTATGAAAGTGAGAACCATTTCCCCACAGAAGTGATTGTCCAAGTCCATTGATCATTTTTCTACCCAAAAGTAATTGATCAGTGTGCTCTAATGGCAATGTCATTGCCATTTATTTACAAGCCTGCTTTGGTACAGCCAGTGTGTAAGAATGGAGTCATTTTATTCTTTGTATAATGACTCTAGCTACCAAAGTCCTAGCCCATGAGGTGATCTGGGGCCTCTTTTTTAGTAGTCCTGCTGGTTTTTAGTCTCATGATGGTCTTACAACCTGTGGCATTTTTTAAAATTCTTGACAGTGAGATAATGGGAGCCTTTTTCTTGGGGAGTCTATTCCAGAGCTTACTGCTCCTAAGATGGCACAATGATGGGAGCACACACAAACCAGCAGGATAAGGCTGAGCACATAAATCTGTAGGAAGTTGTTCCAATATTTATTATGTTTTCTTTCTTCTTACCTGCAGTCTAAATCCATTATTTGTTTGTTGGTGTTAAATTTTTAATCTTTATCTTTTATCTCTTCACAAACATGGGTCAGTGTTATGTCTCCCACTTAAATAATTTCATGGCAGACAAATTTAATTTAATAAATTGACTCTTTCCTCACAAATCCCACACTAATCCCTGCTGCTTTTGTCACCACACCTCCAGCCTGTCTGTAGTTGGTTGCAAACATAGGGCCTGAAGCTGAATGCTGCCTGTGAGCAGAGATCCTTGTGATGGGGAGCAGTGGAACTCTCTTGAGCCAGGCTGGTTGTTCTGAAGCTCAGCAGTGATCCTTGTGATGGGGAGCAGTGGAACTCTCTTGAGCCAGGCTGGTTGTTCTGAAGCTCAGCAGAGATCCTTGTGGTGGGGAGCAGTGGAACTCTCTTGAGCCAGGCTGGTTGTTCTGAAGCTCAGCAGAGATCCTTGTGGTGGGGAGCAGTGGAACTCTCTTGAGCCAGGCTGGTTGTTCTGAAGCTCAGCAGTGATCCTTGTGGTGGGGAGCAGTGGAACTCTCTTGAGCCAGGCTGGTTGTTCTGAAGCTCAGCAGTGATCCTTGTGGTGGGGAGCAGTGGAACTCTCTTGAGCCAGGCTGGTTGTTGTGAAGCTCAGAACCTTGGCTGCCTGTGTTGGTGGCCAATGCTATTTCAGATCTGTAGCTCTTGGCCTGGTGACTGACAGCCGCCTCCAGGTCTCCTCCTGCTCCGCTCCTTCATCCACAGGGAAGGCCACCCACCTGAACCGCCTTTACTCAGCCACAGCCGCATGCATCTTTGCTAGCTGAGCTTTGTTCCCTCCATCTCTCCTCCCCCTGCCCTCACAGTTCCTGTGCTGAGTTTCTCTGTTCTTTCCATTTCTGCCATGCCCTTGCTTCGGTGACTGTGCAAGCCCAGCGCCGCAGGTGACGGTGACAGCGCAGTCCGGCGGCTGCTTCGCCTCTGCCAGGAGCCCTACCCGCGGTGCTTTCCCTGCCAGCTCCGCTGCTATCCGCGCTTTTCCCGCTGGGAGCGCAGCCTGTGGCTCGCACCTCCACCCAGGGCGTGCTTTGCTGGCTGGAGGCGCCTCTCTCCAAAAGAGAGAGCCTAAGGCAAGGGTGCTGCTGGAATAGGGCCTCTGGTAAGTGCCTGAAGCCGAGTGAGCGGATCCCGCGTGGATGGGGTACGCAGCGGTTTTTAGGAGCGTTTTGCTGTTACACTGTTAGGTTATGGTGAACACTATCTGTGCCACTTTTAAAACATAATGAGTCTGTTCTCTCTTCCCCTCCAGGCACACGTGTTCCTCTCCCTCTAGAACTTTTCATTAGTGGAAAATTTGTTTATGGCTATTTTATTTCAATGTGGCTTAATATTCTCTGTCTTCTCTGTCCAAGAAAAATTTGTCAGCTTGATTTAGTGTGATTGTAACTACTTCAACACCTTTTGCTGAATTGTCTGTTTGCTGAGACACCCTTTCAGTGTTGTTCTTTAACCCCTGCATGTTGGGTGTCTCTGTAGCCCCAGCTGTGCCTTTCAGTGTTGTTCTTTAACCCCTGCATGTTGGGTGTCTCTGTAGCCCCAGCTGTGGATGGGCAGAACTTGCTGTCTGACCAACCCAGCTGTGCAATCGTGCCACCCGTCCACTGTGGGTAGCAAGGATGGCACAGTGGGGCTCTACACAAGCCCAAAGCTGCCTGAAGGCTTAGGATCTTTGCCTGGCATGCCTGCAAAATTAGTTGGCTTGCATGGCAGCTGGGGAGCTCCAGGTGTTTCCCGGATCTCTGACGAAGGGGTTAAGTGAAAGTAGAGGGAGAGGAAAGGCTTGTGTGTGCTCTCTCACTGGCTGTACTTTTCTTCCTCAGAGGGAGTGAGATTTTAATTTTGAGAAACTGCATTTATTAATTTTGTCAGAATTATTTTCTTAGGCAATGAGGTTGTTAACAGGCATTCCCTATTTTGTTTACTGTTCAGAGTGTAACAAAGCCTTGCTATCACAGAACCCAGTTTGAGAAAATCAGTGTACCTAACTCTAAATCAGACTTCGTGGAGAGAAAGAATTTCATGTGTCTTGAATGAAATTATTAGAGGTTTGGCTCCCAGTAACTGAAAAGTGGGCAGGAGCAAGTGCCTTCATTTCCAGAAACCCTATTACTGGAGTGAGAATCAAGGGAAATCTCTGTGTCCTCTTCCATCAAATGCGTGGGAGCACAGATTACATCGCACTTGTTCCTGACCTACACAAATGTGTAGCCAAACAGAATTCAGCTGAGAATACATTTCTGGAAAAGACTTATTTCTCTCTTTCCATTTTAGCTAACAATCAGCATTACTCTGGCAAGTTGAGCATTAGTTTGTCACTGCACAGTGGGAGAAATTCTGAGTGTCGAGGAGGCACCTTAAAATATTGGAGTAGAAAGATGCTGGCAAAACTGAGCAGCTAATTGCACTTTATGGAGTTTATTGTGCCTTCAAATAGTCATGTGTTACTGCCAATAAAAATAATGGGAATTAAGTGCATACACTGATGAAAGAATATACATGAATGGTTTATATTTCAGTCTATTGAAATAACAGATCTCTAATTTTCCTCATTGATTGAAAATAGGAGCTATAACGATAAGATTTTTTTATATTAATACTGTGAGCACATCTGTGAATTTTATTATCAAGCAAATTACCATGGAGAATGACAGCTTTTGCACTTTAGTGACTGGCAATATTCTACTTTATTTTTTTTGCCTTAAAGACAGAATAAAATTGTAATTAACAATGTTTAACTGACCTAAACATCACTGTAAAATGTGTACTGTTCAATAAAAATGTGATACACTTGCTGGTGTATAAAAGCCTTTTTAAAGCCCTGGAATTCTATTTTAAGAAATTTTGTGAGTATGCCTTTCTTAGGCAAATACTTCTTAGGAAGTATTTGAAAGATGTAACAGTTAAGATTGCTGCAGGATGAAATGTTTCAAATTCGTCTTTTCCAGAAGGAATGATTCTAATGTTTAATTGTTTCAAAGCCCAAGAGTTCTAGTTGATAAGATAATAACATTGGCTTTTTTTCAGGTTGTTACAGGGTAGTTCAAAGCATTTTTTACATGTGTTATTTTCTTAAGTGAAACCAACTTTTCCCCCTCTGTCTTCACTTACGACATACACTAACATAATTAACCAAAGAAGAGGTAGACCACTTTCTATTTTGTAAAACATGCATGAAACAGAGTTGTGGTATTACAATTACAATAGTGGTGTTACAATGAATCTGATCTACATTTTATTACTCTTCAGAAGAAAATAAGCCAACTTGATTTCACCATATCACAGAGCTGGTAGAGCATGATTTTTTTTTGTTTGTTTTACAATATTATATAATATCAAAATATGTAGTTACAATTCTGGGAAATGGGGCCGTAGTCAAAGTTTTGGTTAATATGTGTTGCAGTGTAATGGAAAAGCTGGATTCATTGCAGTCACACAGTAAAACACTTTGTTCTTCATTTAACATTATTGTTTTCAATTAACAGAAAGAAAAGTAGAACAGCTTTTCTTTTTGGTTCTAGCAAACTACAGTACTCTTTCCATATCTTTGGCTCATTCTGTTCAAGATGAGAAAAATGTGGGAGAAGTTAAAATAGATCATTACCACGGAATCCTCAGCTGGTTTAAACTTGGAGATGAATAGATGGAAATAATTGTCTCATTTGCAGTTTTCCATACATTTTGTCTTGTCTTTAAATTATCGTAGTTTTGTCTCACAGAATATTTCTTTTTTTAAACAGACTGTGCCTCTTTTTTTCTTCCCCCCTCCTCCATCTTTCATTTTTCAGATCACTCAGTCCCTCTACTCCAACATGATAGTGTTTAACATCATCTCCTGACTTGTCAGAGGAACCATCCTTTCAACAGAAACCGTGACTGAGGCCATAATTCTGTGCCGGTTTTGTTGCCTGAGATAAACAGAGAAGGAAATTACTCAAAGCTGAAATTGTTTATTTTTTAAATATGCTTTGAGTACCAAGGTCATCTGCAGCCTTTGCACTTTGTTTTATCATTTGGAGCCACCTGCTGGCAGAGAACATAATTCTAGCAAAAAGAAAAAAGATTTTTTAATTTGCTGTTAGTGAAGCTGCTGTGACTGTGCTAAGGAGCAAAAATAGGAACTTTTTTCATGATCCTGTCATTCTTCATAATTTTTTTATTTAAATATGACTTTCTGTCTTCCCACCTAGGCATGGACCCAATATCTGTGCCACTAGAAGATAATACTGGAAAAGAGGCTGTGATCTGTGAGAGTAAAGTCTGTTCACACAGGTAAGGGAGAGCAGAGAGGTACTGAAGCTGAAAATCACTGTAGTGGCACTCAGGTTGTGAACAGATGTACGCACAGACTGAAGTCCTTGAAAAAATGGTGGAAAGCAATGAATGATTAGTGGACCAGGAGAGTGGTCCAATTTAAATAAGTAAGTTAGGATGCCCACCATGTCTGATAGAAAACAGTAAAAAATTTTAAAACATGAAAGAGCATGAGAAAAGGAGGTGTCCCCAGTTACCTCTCAGAAGGACTTGAATTCAGTTCCCACATTTAATAGTGATGATGTTAGCAGCTTTGCCCATTTCATACTGCACAGATTTAAAATTGCTAGAACCTTCTAAAGTTATAAACAGCTTTCCATATTTACAACCCTTTGTAATTTTGTTTTGACCACCCATGTTGTTCAGTGTCCCCTTAACAATCTTGACTGCAGGTATGTAAGTTAAATAACATTAATTCTAATCAGGAGACATACCACTTTCGTGAATATAACATTAGGAATAAAATTATTTCCTATCCATAAACTTAAGTGTTTATTCATCATATTTTCTAAGAACTTCCTGCAGTCTCATTAAGTTTTCTGAGTGGCAGTGTATCAAGTGCCTTCCTAAAGTACATTTGCATTATCTATTATGTTTCTTTTCAATGAGTCTCTTGGTAAATCCAACTAAAAGAGCCACTTAAAGATTTATGTCTTCCTTTCACCAAGGTATACTAATTTTTTGTAGCCCTCTACATTTGCTTCTCTGAGTAACACATAAACAAACCAGCAGAAGACCTGGCAATTTCCCCATGGAGCCATGCAGAAAATTATCTTCTCCTTCTTTTCTACTACCTATTCAGATGATAAAGAGGATCTTTTCCTCAGAAGTGTATTTTTCTCAGGTAGTAGAACCCACCCAAGAGTCATTTGTTTTAACCATCTGTCCCACTTCCCTTAGTATTGACTCATCCCTAGCCTCCCCATGGTAAGCCCATCTATTACAGGCTATAAAACAGCCTGAGTTATCTTTCTCTCTGTGTGCATAAAATTTGTTGCCATACTGTTTATTGTAGCTTCTCTTTCATGTAACTGACTGTGTCATTTTTATTGTATCAAATTGGAAGTTTTCATGGGAAACTTTCTTAGAGTTCTGTGAAGGAAGGAAAGAACAGAATGAACAAGAAAAGGGTTGTGAAAGCAAATTGCAAGGAGTGGACTGTGACTAGCAAATAAACAAGACAAGAAGTAAAGCAGGATGAGTGAACAACATTGATGAGCCTCTGAAACTGCTCAGAGACCCAATAGCCATTTATGCCAGTTTCCAGTGTTTCAGCAGAGGAGCCTCCAGGGCCAAAAATAATGAGAAAAACAGTGCTTTGCAAGAGGACAGGAGGTGATTTGTGGTCAGGGGTCTTTTCTGCAACATGTTTAAGGTGAGAAGTGGAGCCAAAAGTCTTTGTTAAAAGGCTTTTTTTCGAAAGAAATGCCTAGTGAATGTATTTTCTATTTATTAGTTCTGTGCTCTGATGCTGTTATTTCATCCAGTTCTGTTGGCTTACTCTGAATTTAGACTGAGATAACTGAGAAAAGTACATGATGTAGAATCTGCAAGCAGTCATGTGAGGAAGTTTAATTTCGCAGCAGCCGCGGAAGTTTAATGAGCCCAAATTTCCCTTCTGAAGCAATTCATCAGCGTTAGCCTTCATCCCAGCAGGGGCTGCTCACATCAGAGGGACCTGGCTTTCTGGTACAATGTCTACCAGTGATATAAATGATGAAAGTAGAAGCAATGTTGATAGGATTGATGCTGAAGAAGACTCTAAATGCTCAAGGTTGCTGCTCTACTGAAATAAGGAGGGACACAACCTCCTCTTTGACAGGCTGCAATATCAAAGAGATCAAGGGAAGTGTAGCAGTAGTAGAAGACAAAGGTGTAGTTAAGAACAAGGTGAACTGAGCCTGTTGTATTATATCCCATGGGATCAATATTCAGACTTCATCTGTCCTTGTTTCTTGTTCTGTAAATTACCCTGCTAGAGGGACCAGTTGTAATGCACTGAAGCTAAATGACATAATAGAAAGATGAGTGGGAAACTCAAGGCAAACAGCAAGTGAAATCAGAGAGAAATAGGCTCTCCTTTATAAATTGCCTGACATGTGCCAAATGAAATGTAATGCTGACAGATGTAAAGTTATACTCCACAAAAATAAACACAAGCAGAAAACAAGTAGAATTGAGCTACAACAGAATGACTTTGACTAAGACCTTGAAGAGATGATGGTACTTGCTCAGAAAATGGTCTGACAATAAGGGAAAGCAATTTGAAAACACTTGTTTTGGAATACAAAAACTACACAGTGACATTTGATGAAATATGAAGCATGGTGTGAGTCTCTAACTCAGCCACTGTGACTCAAAACAATAAGTGTATAAAGAGAGGGCAAAACTTTCTTCCTGATTTATACAGAATTAATTTCCTACAGGCTGCCAGAGGCAATTGGCTCAAGAGAGATTTTAAACACCCCTAGAACCTCTGTGAAGCTGGAAAAAATATTGGAGGAATTTGTTTCACCTGCACTGTTATCATGGAAGATTCATGTGTTCTCATTAACAGCCTTCTCCCTAACACAGTTGAGACTGTGAAATCTCATGTGGACACTCACCTTTTGGCCTCCTTCTTGACACAGTGCCTGCATCTCATACTCATACCAGAACACCATTCCAGTTCTAGGGCATCACTGGGTAGATGCAACTCTGGTTGACATCTGTCCACTCTGAGTGGGGAGAGGGATGCAGAGCTGCACCATAATTCAAAATTCAGAATAAGCACTGAAGAGATACCAGACCATGCAGGATTATAAAATCTCCTTAGTTTCACTTCTGCTGGCTTTGTACCTGTGAAATTCAGTTGAACACAACAGAGCAGTTTGTAAAGCCAAGCCAATTTCCTCTCAGTCCTGGGTTTAGCACCTTTTGCTGTGAGTAGCTGTTTTCTTGTTTCACAAAGCAGATGGTTTCCACGCAGATCAACTTCTTAGGCTGGATAGGACATCAGGGTGAGAATAGGAACACAACTACTTCACTTTACTTGCTATAGGAATCTTTCCTAGGTCAGCATAAGAAGTTACATTCCTCTTACATTTAAAGTTAGATATCAGTCAAATCTCTTTATGTGGTCAGTAGAGAGTTGAACATTTCCACAGTGAGGGTCATCCCATCCTGAGGTCTAATATAGATGGGAACTACTTACTTCATTCCATTCTCTGTGAGTGAAACCCAGACAACTAATTTAAACGAGATGTCTGGGAGATTTAAATGATGTTAAGTTTACTCAGGGCAGAGGAATCTAATGTCAAACAGCATCAGTGGCCTTCTCGGATTGAGAGATGATTTCAAAGTCCCTCTAGGAAAGATTGCATCCAGGTAAAGAAGGCAATTCTATTGCCAGCTTGCATAACTCACTAGACATTTTACAAGTAATGGAAATCATCTTTAGAGAGATGCCTGGCCTCTGTTAGGGGAGCCATGTTTTAATATGAAATGTTAGTACAAACATGATTTAAATTAGAGAGATAACATCATTGTACCTGATGGGATCATTAAAAATTACACACAGCAAAGCAGTCTTAAATTGAACTCAGATCATTCCTCTCTGTTTTTAGCAAAAACTACAGACCAGAGTGTGACTATTTCATAATACTGTATTGTAATAGTGTTATATGGGCAACCATTTATTGTACTTCAGACTCAGTGTCTTCAGTGTTATGATTAATCCTTTATTCTATAGTAATTTTCCATACCAAACTAAATTAGATCTTGTGAAAGTCAACTTCAAGAGGAAAGGAGTAAACTTGAGGAAATGGGGAGTTAGAGTCATGCAGACCTTCACATCAGACATTCATCAGACAATATAGATTCTGTACTTTGTATTGAAGGAAGCAGAATAAACATCTTCACAATTTGACTTCTGTTTTGCAAATTAATGTTTGGTCAATCAAATTTAAACTTCCTCTCTTCTTGTAATAGGGTAAAAACGTATGACTGTGGAGAAAGAATTGCTGGCTGGCTCTCTGCGTTTCTTGGTCGTCCATGTCGCTTGATAAGACAAAGTTCAGACATGAAAAGCAAGTCACATCAGAAAAATACAAAAGGTATGTTGTCATCCTTAAAAATATTTGCGATTCCTTATGCAAAAATCAGGCTCATGTACTTCACACAGTATATAGGTACCCTGATAAAGGCTGAAAGAGTTATCCAGTATAGATCTAGTAGTTTTGTTTATACCCAAACTGACTTTTTGATGCCCTTCTACTTGCTAAATTTGGTGAAGATGTACAGATGTGCCAGTATGGGGGGAAGTTATTATCATGACCATGATTTTGTCTGGAAACTCAAAGAAACCATTTAGAAAAATGATCATGAAGAATCAAATAATTTATTCAGAGATTAAATTTCAGTACAAAAATATTTGAAAGAGTATTGAAAATGCATAGATATTGCTCTTGTAAAGTAATTTACAAATTTGGTAAAATCTCACCTCTATCTCAGTTTCTAACTGCATTGCATCATAACCATTTGCAAGTTGGAGGGCATCCTTGGAATATTTCCTTAGTGCCTGGAACCAAATGAATAAACTAGTAATGAGAATGAATAAGAGGTCAAAGGAAAGATGAGGTGAAATTACTAATTTTTATGATCATTTTAGAATGTTGGATTGATTTTTTTTTTCTTTTAGGTCTGTCATCTGCTACAAACATCTCACTCTCTCTTGTGAATGAAGCACAATACCTCCTGATAAATGTAGCAAGCATTCTGCAGCTGAAAGAACACATTTCTGCAAGGTAAGATGCTTCTGTCTCCAAATGTCTCTCGGTGATCTTAGATTCCAGAATCTTGCCATAAGATGCCAATATAGGTGTTTTATGTGGAAATGTAGAGGTAGTTACTTTTCAACATTCAAAAAATATATAGCTACTAAACCGCTATAATTACTAATTATTTTATGTTTTCTGAAAATTTGGATTAAAAGCATGAACATCATCTGTCTACCAGTCATCTTTAGGAAAATTTAAATGAAATTTTTGTCAAATGTTTTGGGGGAAAGATATTGAGAACCAGCCAACTTCTATTCGTCAGAAGAACAAGGATAAAGAGGTTTTCTCAACATAAATTGTCTGGCAGGTAAAAATATAAAGTCTGGCTGAACCATTTCTCTCCCATGAGAATTATTAAGATTTAGAATATGCACAACAGAAATACTTTGAAAGTATTTTCAGGGTTGGAATAATTTTATTTCTTAATTTAATTTGGCTTTACTTATACAAAAGTGGGAGATAAAAGTAGCAAATTAAACACTGAGTCAGTCCATAGTTCAAAGATTACAAACCCATTACCAAACAAATTTTCATATACTGACTACAGGAAATTTTTATTTCTTGACTATAACTAGGAAAGGTTCAAATTCCACAAAAAATCTTCCCTCAAGTCCTCCATTATGTCTGTGCATCCCACACCCCCAGCATTTGTCTCTGAGCCCTCTTTCCTGTCTCTTAAAACTTCTCTCTTGCTTCTTACTGGAGTCATCTTCTTTTCTTTTAGTCACCCACCAAGCACATCCCCTGCATTGAAAATTCCTGCTTTGAGTAGAAGAGGATATATGTATCTGTATATCTGCAGGAGGATATGTATATCGCTTCAGGATTTAAAACAACTGACTGGATGAAGCATCACCAAGACCACTGGGGCTTGCATTGTCTGAGGATTTTCCTTCTTCTGGAGCAGACTGTTGGGCAATTTTAGAATATCATGGGAAATTATTGTAGAATTGTAGAAAAGGTTTGAAGCAGTCCATCTCTCAGTGTTTTGACTACCCTTTCTCAGTGACAATTAATGTCTTGTTGTGAGGCTTGACTGGCTGGGTTACATCTCCTTCTTGCAAACATCCCTCACTCAGGATGGGCTTTTTCCATAAGACTCAGTGTGGAACTTTCCAGATGCGGGATTTGAGTACAAGGATAAGACTAAGAAGCACCAAGTGAGGACAAAGGAGAACAATGAACTTCAGTAAGACATTCAACATCAGATCAATCACTGATTTTACACCTAATATCTTCCAGCACAACTAGGCTTGTAATCTCCTTTTCCTCAAAGGAAACTCCAGATGTGACCAGAGCTGCAATGGTGACTAAGAAGCATCTGGCTTCTCACTCTGCAGTGTGAGTTGGAAGTGTCCTCCTTTCCATGCATTTTGCCATGCAGTGCCTTCTCTGGGTGCTGGAGAAATAAATTCAGATATACAGCATCCTCATTCTGCACTGTTACTAAATTATGGAGTATGGGCTTTCCAAATATTGAACTATCCAATGTACTTTTAAGAACTGCACTTATGGGTCTTTATTAAATATTGAAGGATTTTTAGAGAGTATTATTTAGCTTCTTGGCATTTGAGTTCAGTTTTGCTTAAATGAAACCTGCTAAATTTTGCAAAACAATTTCAATTTTCAATTAAGTTTTTTTAATTTCACTTTGTATCTTCCATAAGTAAAAACTAGTCTTCCAGTTTGCAGTTGGCTCTTGAGAGGTGATCTAAAACAAAAACAGCAATTCAATTAAAAATTAGAATCCAGTATACTGTTGGAGGGCTACATGTACCTGCAGACATTTGTCTCTATGCTGTTTCCATTATAGGTTACCTCCAGGCAAATCCCTATGGCTTGGCCTAATTCTCAAATGTTCTTGTTAGAACTGTAACCCTGAGAATATAAATATTAATTTTCAAGTTTGCCTGTTAAATAGAGGCAATGCATTCTTCATTGCAGAGCCCACTGCTGTGAAAATCCAAAGCACCTAGGCTGACTTTGGCACATTACACTGATTTTCAAAACAGGTCCATGTTGGTATTTGCGGGATGAAGGTACCTGCCACTCCATCCAACCAATTCATGTTTTGTGGCAGAAGAAATAATGGACATTTACTCAGATACACATTGCCAAGTGATTACAAGCATTTCTGAGGGCTGGAGGAGGTGCAAGAGAGGTGAAGTATTCTGGATGTGAGCCCAAGTATGTTGAAGGCAGAGAGGTCGGGTAGAGGCGTTGCAGTCTTCAAGTTCAGCAGCAAGGAGTAGATTCGCAGGAGCTTGAAGTTTTTTTTAGCAGCTGTCTCAGGACTCTGCAGGCCTAGCTCTGAGGTTACTGGGCTTTTGATGCTCCCAGTGCAGGCTGGGGTGTCAGGCGCTTAGATTTTGCAAAACACAGTCAAAACTAGAGGCTCCACTGCAGCCAAACTCCAAGAGCCCACAGCAAAGCTGGGAAGCACAGCAGCATAATTGAATGTGTTCACAAGTAACTGCTATTTTCCTTCTTGTTTGTATGAGCACTGGCATAATCTACATTTCCTCTTGGCTCCCACCTCCTGCATTCATTACAAATTGTGTCTCAGCCATGGGATTAACTGTGGGATCTTGAGGGAAATCCTGTAGCCTTGCAGCTTCTCATCTCACCTTCTACCCCCAGGCTACTGGAGCCCTTGTGAACACTGGGGCTTGGTGGAGCTGGGCTTCTGTGGTCTGACTGAAAGTCTGCACAGGCAGATTATCTTCATGCAGTTTTGTCTGCTACAGAAGATCATCCAGACTGTTTAAAATAAAACTAAGCTCTTTTTTATCACCTAGCAGGCCATCTCTGCCAAGACTGCTTGATGTGAAGTTTTCAATGTACTTTGATTTTGCATGTTTTTTCTCTAACTGAAATACATTTTAAACTGTATGTCCTTACTTTTTTCTTCATTTTTTTTTTCTTTTGGGACAGAAATGCCTCTCTTCACTGCTTACCCAGGTTTCTGCCTTTGCTGTAGATGTCATATCACTAAGTTGTCAGAGTACAGTTTGTGGAGTATCAAAAATGGTTCAAGTCCTTAACAGCTAATGCAAAAAGAAGTTTCTTCTCCACTAACTGTGGCACTGAGAACCCTCTGGCAAATTTACAGTGTCTTTTTTTGTCTTTTTTTTTTTTTCTGCTACTGTTCAAGTTCTCCTTTAGAAGAAAAGTGAAGAACGGCAATTCAAAGATGCAGCAAGACTTCTGATATTTGTATGCAGTCTGCTGCTCTTTCTGTCTCATATACATTCTCCACACTGACACAAATCTACATTCTGGCAGCTCAAATGCTTGTAAAGAGGGGGAGATATCACCACACAGAGATTAATTTTTTTTAAAACACCTATCGTTTGGTGCAATCTGCTGCCTCCCAAAGGCAAATAATAATATGATGATGATATATCTCTCATAAAATTATTTTACTGGCCTTTTTCACCTTCAGCAACTACTGGTTTTGTCCCTTCTGACATTGCAGCATGTGTAGAATAAAATTTTATTTGACTTTGGTTCTAGAAGCTTCTATTTTTACAATATTTAACAAGTTAAATGATTACTAACAGAAAATATCTTTTTACTTGTTACCATTAGCCTTACATATGATAAAAATTTGGGAATTTTCTCATATACATGATTCACAATCACCTATCTACATGTTTTCATACCTAAAGTTCCAGGTTATACCTCTGAAGAAGCCACCTAGGGGGTTATATATTATGGTTGAGAGGTTACAAACTCTAGTTGATTACCTTGTGCCATTCCCATAGCCTTTGTAATAAAACTTGGTCCAGGTTATTCTGGAGAAGCATTTGCTAATCACATGAGCCACCAGAGTCTGCCAGCACAAACATCTAGTGCAAAATTAGTTAATAATTTTATTTTTTCTTTTGCTCTGTCAACTCTGTGAGACAGATTGAAGGAGCCATTGGAAATAGAGGAACTGATCCGACGTTTCCGTGCCAACATTGTCATCAGTGCACCAGAGTCCTTTGAAGAGGAGGAGTGGGCTGAGATTTCAATAGGTGCTCTGCAATTCCAGGTGTGACCTTTTCTCTCTTGTCTGTGCCCCAGGGTATCACAAAGCATTTTGATTCCTGGAGACAAACCGATTTTTACAAGGCTTTGATTCCTGAATCAAAGAATATGGGCAGCACACTTTGTGCAGGTGAAATTTATGAAGTGTGTTAAAAAAAAAAGTGATGTGTCCCGTGACAAACATACTTCTGTATATTTAAGAGGTTTTGCCATATTTCTCCACATTTCTATTGAATCTCATAATTCATAGCGTTTCTTATCTTTATCTATCTGAACTGAATAATAATCAGGTTTTTTAGGCGAAGTTTACAGCACATATTTAGCCAGCACATCAGCAGAGAATACTTGTAGCTGTTTAGCATAGTAGTCCAAATATAACCTGACATTACTGCAAATCAAGCAACTGATGGCCAAAGACTGGACATGAATACAAGTGATGACCAGTCATGGTCTATTGCCCTCTGTTTTATACATCTTATCCTAGTCTTCACTCAAGGAATGTTTCTAATTCTAGCCTGGTAAGGTTTTTTTGTATGCTCATAGCTAACAACAAAATGTCCTTTGTACTGTAAGGAAAATTCTGAAGAGCCAGACCTTGTTTGTAAATACATTCTCTCAAGAAAAGCTCTTAACAAAGAATCTGTAAAAGCTACATGACACCTAAGGGAATGATGCACACATGTATTAAATGTTCTCCTGAATTTGTCTCGCCAAGAGATATGAAATTTGTATTTGAAGATGCTTTGCCTAGGATGTGAAAGCGGCTTATTTGTTGTCTTCTTAGAGATTATAATTTAAGTGTGAATGACAGGAGTACTGAGGTCAAATCTAGAAGATGTGATAGGCATCACTCTTTTTTTTCTAGTTAGCATGCTGTAAAAAACTTTTTCAGCAAGGGTGGAAAATATTGCTTATCTGCTCTCTTCTTATGTGTACTTTGATCAGTAGGTTGCAATATAAGTTACAGAAAATTGAGGAAAAATTGCTATAAATAAGAAATGAGGAACAAAAAGAACAAAATCCATGGTGTATAGCTTGTTGGAGGCTGGAGTTACATTGGGGAGTTCAGCTGAGGATCCTGTTGATAAGTTACTGTAAAACTACAAAATAAAAGGCATTCCTATTTCTGGCATTGATATACTTTAGGAACACAAGGCAAAAATAGAAAGGCTTATGTAACTTGCATTGTCTTTTCCCATCTCTGCTAGGTCCTTTTTCAGATACTTATGTAGTAACAGTAGAAATTATGTTAATGTTTCTTTATGCCACAAAAATAGTAGAAGCTGTTGAACAAAGTAAAGCAGGAAAAAAAAATCCTTCTCTGTCTTGTTCTTTAAATTAAAAAAATAGAGCTGTGGAAAATAGTTTTCTAAAAGACCTGATGTTTGATGTTGATGATTACGCTGAAGAGTTATACAGGCAGTCCAGATGCCTCTCTAAAACCTGAAATACCACTTCAGATCAGCACATAAAATGTTCTAAGTGTACAGTTTAATTATTTGCCCTTTTTGAAATTTATGGCACATTTTACAAAAGTAGAATGTGTATACTGGGATATACTGTAAGACATAATTTCTGTAATGTACAGAAAGTACTGCTAAAGTTAGGGAAACAGTGTTAAGTGAAAGTGCAATATGTTGTCCTTCTCCATTTTAAAGCTCTAAGAAATTTGTTGCAGGGTTGGGGTTTTTTTCCCCTAAAAACATACTTTAGTTCAAGCAACAATTAGCTTTAAGACCAACTGCATATGATGTTATCATGTGTAATAGATGATAGAGGATTACTTATTTCTTCTGATTAAGTAAACTTGTATGTTTAAATATTTTACATTCTGAGTATCTGAAAGTGCCATGTATGTAAGAAATATATTGTGCATTTCAGCTGCACTAAAACAGTCCCAAGAAAATCCTCTTTGGGTTGAATCCTGAGGCATTGGCTTAATTTTGTTTTCAGTTCTTTGGGCAAGCAGCCCTGCTAACCCACAGAAGAAGTGGAGCCATCAGGAAATACAAATATGTAAATGTCTGGTATTTCTCAGATCCTGTCTCTGAGAAAGTTTTCCTTAAAAAAAGAAAAAAGTGAATTAAAAATTCAGTGAGACTTTTGCCAGTAGTCTTACTACATTAGGTTAACAGACTTGACCTTTTACATAATGAAAGTTTCAAAAACCACAGAAAAGGTATGCAAAAGGCATGTGTTTAATATATTATGATAGTCAGAAACTTGTACTGTTCAATGCTGTACTGCTTTGATAAACAGCCATGAACTTTCTTTAACTAAAATTTCAGGTTGTGGGTCCATGTAGCAGATGTCAAATAATCTGCATTGATCAACAGTCTGGGGAACGAAACAAAGAAATTCTGCAGTCCCTGTCTGCTGCCAGAGGTAGAAAGGTCAGTACAGAACTTCAAAATAGCTGTAATGAAAGATGTAGTGGCTTTATTGCATGGGTAGTGAAATATCTGCTGAGCGAATATTCACAGCTAAGTTGTTACCATTTGGATTTTTTTCTGCAAAAAGAGGATGCACTTACAACCCAGATATGGCATGGTTTATTTCTATGAAATGCTTAATACATTTTTAATTCAGAAATGGACCATTAATATGCATTATTTTTAACTGTGCTTGCTTTTATTTCATAAGTATTTCTTAACAGTGTGTTTATTTTGGTCTGAAAAACACAAGCTGATGCACTGATGTATTTAAGAAAAGAAATAGGCTGAAAAATCAGAAAGTGTTTGAAATTATACAGTTGGCATGTAAGACTAAACTTTATTCTTACCCTGAGAAATTAGTTAGTAGGAAAAACAGAGCAGATGTGAATATAGTCAAAGTGGAGAGTAATTGCTTAGGAAAGAGACCAAAAAGTAAGTGAGAAATGCAGGTGTTTATTTGAGGTGTACTTCCTTAGATTGTGTTGCTTCTTGGAATCGAGAGCACTCAGATGATGGCCAGACAGTTCGGCATCCCAAAGGCTCCACAAATCTCCTCATACGTATTTATTTAGCTGAAAATCCTTATTCAAAATTCATTGCTTCCTCTTGGTTAAGCTCCTGTTGTTAAAGTGTCTCAGGCAGTCGGGGCTCGGGAGCTTTGCCAGTACCCGCCAAACACCAGAGACAGGGCACAGCACCAGCACAGAGCAGTAACAAATAGGCTGAAAATCATTCAACCAGACAATGCACAAACAAGTTACAAATACTGCATTCTATGTTTGGACAAAAAAAAAAAAATAATTGATTCGTCTCAGTGACTCATTAAGCAGACAAAGGGCTTTCTTTTCGTTGGCTGTTGTCCTTGGTGAATAGCTCCTCTGGCTCCATGTCGGAGCCAGCCCAGTGCAGTGAGCAGGGCCGGCTGTCGAGGCACAGCTTCCCGCTGACCTGAGGTGACTTAGGCTTGCACAGCAGGCTCTGCTCCAGGTCCCCACAGTACATGAGCTTTTGTGAGATGAGCTCCTGGCCACAGTGGGTAGCCTGAGGACAGGGGCCCTTTCTGAGTAATGGTGAGCCACAGCTGCTGCATCTGGGACACTCAGGACAGGGATGCTCCCTGCTGCAACATGAGGTGGAGTATGCAGAGGACTTTTTCTGGCCATATGGGTTTTACTGGATTATGACTTGAAACCTCTGTAAAAAGCACTCTGTACTCAGCGAGAAAATGGCAATAAAACCTTACTCAGGATGCAGATTCTCAGGAGAGGAACAGCATCTTCTGCATGTTTCCCACACCAAAGATGAGCTTCTCTCTCTCACTGTGATTAATCAACAATGAAGAGATTTTCATGATGCACTGCTAGAACCAAGTGGCTCATTCAAACAGGACTAAGGCAAAGGGAGCAATCCAGCCTCTCAAGAAGGAGCTGGCGCCTGATAAAAGCCGCGCTGCGAGACGAGGCAGGCGCTGCTGATCACCGCGGGGGAGAGCTCTCTCTGCCTCAGCTGTGCCGATATCCACGCTGCAAAGACACGGGAATTCAGCCTTTTTTGTTTTTTCCCCAGCCTTTAGCACTGCTGGCAGATGGGATCTTGTGAGCATGCCCTGCTCTGCATGAGGATGAGCTTAGCTGACAATTGAAAGGGAGAGTTTGAACTGCTAGCTTTGCCTGGTCTGGTCTGAGAAGATCTCTGAGACTATTTCTCCTGCAGGTCGCCCCTGTGGTGATGAGCATCAGCTGATTATCTCTGAGCAGCACCCAGGAAGGACTATGGCATTTTTAGTGTGCTCAGCAGACCTAACAGAGGACACTGATCCAAACCTTTCACAGCTCACAGTGGGGAGAGAGAAAGAACATCGAGTTCATGTGACTGTGTTAAATTGCAGAGCTAATCCTTTGGTGACTCATTTCTCTACCATGTGCTTTTCTGCTAAAGAGTCATCTAATACACTTAATTTTCTTTTTTTTTCTTCTATCAGATGCAGATTCAGTGAAGGAAATCAGCAGTGTTTGCTCCTATCTGTCAATAATCTGATTCAAACTACAAAAAAACTATTGCAGAAAAATAAGATTTAAGATAGTTTCCCAGGTCTTTGGAAAGCTGCTGTAGCAAGTTGATTGCCAAAACATTAAAGATATTGCAGATAGAAAAGAGACCCAGATGTCAATATTTACCATTTTATATTGTTTTTTCCAAGAACACCAACCTGAAAAAATTACATTGAAGTTTATCAAACAAGTAGCCCAAATAACAGTACTGCCAATGAACTTCAATAATGAGCTAAATAATGTAAGGCTGGTAGGAGGTAGTTCAATATTTATTTCTAAAATCCTGTTTTTCTCCATTCCTCTGAGACTCTTAGAACCTGGTGCTTCAAACTGAAAGATGGAGCCTTTGCATAGATGTATTGCAGCTGAAAGTCAGGACCAGCTACTGTAACTAGCTACCCAAGCAATTTACATCTTTCCAGATAAATGTAAAGCATGGTGCTGAAGCCTTGCCAGCTGCTTTTTATGAAATCTTTTATATCATTGTTTGACACAAAATGTAAACACCTCTATAAAGTGAACTTGAGCTCTGCGTTCTGAAGAAACACTCATAAAGGATTCCTTCTGTAATTCTTGACTGGAAAGATGAGCTCTCCTCCCGTGACAGAGTGCTCTCTGTTACTGCAGGAGATTAGGAAAGACTAGATAACTCCATTAAGCAAATGGCCACATGCTGTTTCACATGCCTCACCACCTGACACAAAACACACACGGGTGGAAAAGGGAGAACACAGCATTCCTGCCTCTCTTTGGTGTTTTGCAGATGCAGTTTAGCACTAATGATAGTGGAAGCCCTGTGGGTAGATTTGCAGCAGTGCTATAAGCTGGGACTTGCTGGCAAGGTAGCAAAGGGAATTATTGCATTAGCAGTCTGCCCTGGTCTGAATGTATGGATAGCAGTACATCAAGGGAAATCCATTATGTTTGCACATGCCTTCATACACTAAAAAGCTTGTGTTTTTTTCAGGGACCTGTTGATCCTCCTTTATGTATCTCATTGTACCTTGGGAGAGCTTCTTTTCCTGCAGAATTAGATGCCATGCCTTTGGATTGCTTAGTGAAATGTTAGCAAGGATAGCAAATTACCTCTCATATCTGATGCATCATTATCATTATTTTCATAGTAACGCAGGGCTTTACACCATGCAATGCATTTCATTCAAATATCTGGAACATTTAAGAACAGTGATTGTTGCAATTAATAGGCCTCTGAAATAATATGGTTCTCTTCTCTCATCGGTGACTGAACTGGAAAATGTATTTAGTTAAGGTAGAGCAAAAAAAGATCAGATCTTAAGGAAGCATTCTACAGTCCAGATATTTTCAACAGAGCAATATGGGGTTTCATTTATGCCAGCTTAAAATTTTACCTTTTTCCAATATAAAAAATCAGCATGTCAGAAGTGAGTACTTCCTCTCTCCTATTTTGTAAGGCTTTACATTCTAGTAAATCTAAAGCTAATAAAACATTATTACATTAGAAAAATCCATTTTAATAATTTCATCCCCCAAATCTTTGGATGAGAGGGAGTTTATGTTATTGTATCAAATAACATATGAAACAAACATATGTAACAAATGAAAAGACCTGGACAGGTAAATTTATCTGCTGGGATATGGCAGCTGAGAGGCAAAATCCAGAACTCATCCATCCAAAGCTAAGTATTAGCATGCAGCATGATTTCTGTGCTTGTTACACATTCTAGCAGAGTATTTCTCTACCAGGTTCCAGTCTGTGTTAACTGATTCTTTAGGAGTCATAGCTCGGAGACATCCCACCTCAGGCCTTAGTCAGATGAAGCCCCTCATGTTTCTGTCTTGCAGAAGGGGATAGTGTACACAGGGTATTTGTCAGTGAATTTCTGAGTAGAGCATATTACTGTTGATCCAGTAAATGAACTTGAAACAACATGCAAGAATGACAGCATTTCATAGCTTTTCCTTTAAGTGAGTGTGATGACTATCATATGATTCACTGTTGGCAAGGATATTTATGTTTTCCCTTTTCTCCCAGCAGTGAAGTGGTCTACTTTTTCCTAATCAAGAAGCTTTAAATTTTTTGTTCCTGTAGCATTTTACATTGATGGGAAGAGTCTCACCTACCAGATAAAGCCATGGCACTCATGGTCCTGCACTCCCTGCCCCGTTCTTGGTGTGTTCTGGAAAGATTATTTGCAGAATAAAATGTCCTTGAAGTCAGGAAAAGGTAGCAGGCAGAGATTATGAGGTTCACTGTAATAACTCTGCAAGCTGTAATCTCTGCATCTGAAAGCCTCATTTTTCATCAGAAATGTGAGGATTTCTACATTTTATCTTTCTCTTGAAAGAGAGCTGAAGTGGCAGATGAAGCTTTTGTGGTTGCTTGTCAGGGGGGTGTGTGTGATTGCTGTTATCAGTACTTGCTGAGTCATTATTTGTAACTATTGAAAAAAGCAGGGAAATTTACTTAAAAGATGTTAAATCCACTTCTGTCACTTACAGGCTAAATTTTGGTTTTAATAACATTCACAAAAAAAAAAAGAGGTCAGCAATTCCAAACAGGCATTAGTACTAAAATATGTACACCATCAGTGTATCATCACCTTGGAAACTCCTTAGGCATTACTCATTGAAAAAAACACTGAGACTGGAGATGCCCAGTCAGAGAAAGAAAATACTAAGGACCAGTATTAAAACAGCATTTGAGAACTCCTGAAGAAAAGATGCATTCAGACATGCATTTTTTTAAGTAATTCTGAATGTTTTAAGGTGCATTAAAAAAAAAAAAAAACAAACTGCTAAATAATTTTCAATTACAAAAATTGGTAAATTAAGTTCTTCACAGTGAACAATCTGCCCAGATTTATTTTAGTCTGATTTTAAGATACATCAAGATGACAATACAGTAAATATAAATTAAAAACTTCTCATGCTTCAAATAAGTTCATTTACATGGATGAGTTAAGAAATTCCTTCCTGTGTGAAATGTGGTGTAGCATGAAATAGTATTAATTTTACAATATTTGTTTTATAATGGCCTGATTTTTTAAAAAACACAAAATCATGGCAACTGTCATTTTTGTATTAGGGTATAGGAGGTGAATCCAGCTTCTCAACCACAAGGCTGAAAAATGCATCATTTCTGCCAATAGAGAAACTTGTCAACGACTGAGAGAAAAGCAAAAATGGAAAAATAAGACTATGTACTTTAGCATTTTACATGAAACAGTTCCTGACACCATTACAGCATCAGGGTTGGTCGAACAGAGTCACTGTGCTAGAGGGCTGGGATCTTACAGTGCTGCAGTCATTCCTCAGCAGTAACTTTAGAACACTGACCACAAGGATGTGCCCTGTGTCCACGAAGCATTGACACCAATACAGCCACTGGTACCCAAAAAGTGCCAGCAGTAGGATAGGCCTGAGAGGTCCAGCTCATGCCCTCTGATGTCCCATGCCAGTGGGATGAAGGAATAGCAGAGGTAGCCAAGAATAGCTTAGGGCCCATTTTTCTCATTGGTGTTTAGGATTACAAATGAAGCAGAAAGACCCAAATTCAGGGTCTGAGGCCATGTTTGGATAGATCACTGCTTTACAGCACCTCTCTTACTTGCGGGTAGGTCTCAAACTTACTTCTCTCTTACCACTAAGGAGATGTTCTCTGTTACCTCATTGCTTCATCTTTATTTAATTACACAGTGCAAGAATAGGAGACAACATACTGCCTACTATTTAATCTGTGAAATATGCCCCCTTAAATTCATCTATTTTTTTTCTTTATTGTAATCCCTTTTGCCTACTATTTTTTTAACCTGCTCTAAATGTAATTCACTCAATTGCAGAATCATTGATCTGAACAATGGCGGTAAATGTAATCAGGAAATAGAAAAGGATAATAGAATTTTGTATTTAGTTTGCTTATTTATTTACTTGTACATTTTAGCTATAGTCTACCAAATCAAAATACTTTTTTTGAAACATGCAAGAGACAAGAAAATTAATATCAGGTTTCCGAGGTCCTCTGTTTAAAGAGCAAAGACTTTCTGAAGTCTAAAAATCTGTTATCAATTTAACAACGTCTTCAGTGTTCCTTTTTTTTCCTACTTTACGTATTTTTTGATTAACTATTATCTAATTCTTTGGAAAATATTGTCATGCGATGACAAATCTTTTTCTTGCATGTTTCTAAATTCTCCACTGCTGGAAAACAAAACCACAGAACCACACCAGTCTCTTCCTGTGACATTTCCAGATCACACCCACAACTGTAACGCTCAGCTGCTTGAGATCAAGACCTCACATAAGAATGCAGGCACTCAGATCAGGTCTTTGGTGCCTGTGAGGGTTGCATGGCCAGTGGGCAAAGTGGATATTCAGTTTTTCTTTTCTATATTACTCAGTATCCCAAAGAGATACTATAAGTATTTCTAATATTTATGCAGGATGGATTCACAGATAATGACACTTAACAAGTGGAAGCAACAATAATATGAATTTTCTGAATATTTTCTGTAAAACATACTAGAATATTCATAAAAAACAAATGAAGGGAAACTCACAGAAGCTAGGCAGAATAAAGTTCTGTTAACAAGGTGCATCATTCATGGTGGGAGATGCAAGACTTCTTTACTGTTGGAACATACCAGTGTTTCCGTGCTGCAGAGCCTTTGTTTGTGACAATACATTAACTGCATTTGTCAGGGAGCCAGAGCAGACATTAAATAACAGGATTGTGAGGGAGTGTGAATTACATACATGATACTATGGAGCTCATGATGAAATACTGTGTTATTTATCCACTTATTTAAGTTATTCTTCCTGAATAGCAGGGCATTAGCTTCTGTTTACCAGTCTATTATAATTAATGAGTTAAGAATGTTCTTAATTACATGGACATAGTACATACCTCCTTATTCTTAAAGCAATATATTTCTTCTAAACATATCTGGGTTGTGAGATCCTCTATAGATTTGATTACTCTAACATGTATTGCATCTTAATAAATATTTTGCTTTTTTTCAGACAAACTTTGGCATATACCTGATGAACCAGCCCTTTTGCTCATCCTTTTCAGATACTTTATCAGTGGGATCTCAAGTACTTCCAGTGCTGAAGGAGAGTACAGAAATTCAACCTCCAACATCCAGTGAAGAAAAATGTTCAGGATAGATTCTCAGGTGGAGATGAAATTTTTATGCAACTACAGGGAAAAGTCAGTAGTCAGTTACACAAAAAAAAAAAGAAAAAGCTTCCACTCATTTGCTTCTGGTAATTTTCTGTTTGCTGTAAATGTTATCAGATGGCAAAACTGTTGATAATTACAGCTCACCTACATGTTTTTGCTTGTGATTAGGTTGCAGCAGCCATAACTCTATTTTGCACAATTGCTTCAGGGTGCAACAGGTTTGATCAAGTCTTACTGGTGGATGACTCCCAAACAAGCCCAACTTTGTTATCAGAAAGCCACATCTCAATGAAGGAAAGTAAACACAACAATACACTGCTTCCTTCTACTGCTTTGTCAAAACCCCAATTAGAAGAGGATGCAAGACATATTTTAGAAACAATGTGGGTGGGAAGAGAACAGTGGAAGAGTGGCATGAGAGTAGTAGTGCATTCAGCTTTCCCAAAAGGAAACTGAAGGTGATGTGTAGACAGCATGAAAGCAATGGAAAAGGGGGAATTATTGGGAAGTCTGTGTGAGTAGTGTGTGAGAACGCTAACACGGCACAAAGATAATGAGGACTCATTTGCAAGACACATTCCCTGTGAAGGAATTCCATCCATTTGTTCTCAACTTCTTTCTCTTCCATTTGTTACTTTTCCATCTGATTTATTTTATGTGATGTCTTCCCTGGGATTTTTTATGTAATGGTATCCCTGCCTATGGAAGACGAGTTGGAGCTAAATGGTCTTTAAGGTCCCTTCCAACCCAAGTAATTTCATGGGTCTATGAGTTCCACACTCTTGTTTCCTTTTACATTTGTGGATGCTGACACATTATCTCTAATTAGAGATTTTTCAAGTAATACAGTCACTTTCTATGCAAACTTTGTTTATTCTCAGCAATCTGTAATGGCCACTTGAGGGAACTCTTGAGAGTTTGAATGCTCTCCATCACAAACAGGTCAAAGCATTCTTTTTTCTTAACCTTTGTTCATTTCATAATGCTCTTCTTAAATGGCTGTTGGCAGCTCCTAAACAAGACTCGTGCTTTCTGATTTATGAGAGCAAATGTCTGAAACCTTAGTCTGAAGTCTGTGAAAATTACAAAAAATAAATAAAGGAAGACACGGAGCAAAAAAGAAAATCCATGTGGAAAGTTGATGTAAATCAAGACTGAATGCATTGAGGCCAGGTGTTTTATGATGCTCAACATGTGTCCAGCTAGCTATGGGATGATTTCATGCTTCCAGGAAGTCCTTCTGGAAGATGAAATTCTCCTAGACTGGCTGCTCTATTGCCATCTGGGAAGTGAAATTTTGACCCAGCTAAAAGCACTGTCAAAACTCTCATCCAGTATGATTTGGGGGCAGTTTTGGCTCCAGCTGTGTGAAAGTGCTTCTGGCTGAAGCAATCCTTGAGTTGTTTGAGCATATCCCTGGAGGGAGGCAGGCGGCTTTGTGAAAGAGTCGGTCAAACAGTCATTCTGAAAAGAGAGCAACTACCACAGAGCAGCAGAGAATGGGAAAAGGGAAGCTCACCACCCAGTGCACAAATCAGAATTCAAAAATGCTCTTTCTTCTTTTTCTCTTTCCTTTTTTCCCCCTTTTTTTAATGTATGGTTTCTTTTTTCTTTGTTCTTTTGAAGAACTGGTTTTACTCACTTCAGCTGGAACAGTCTCTCAGCAGAGCTTTGTAATGGAAATGAGAAGGAACATTATCTGTTTCTTACAATCTGCCATAAAATACATGGGAAGAGAGAGGTTTTTCATATGTATGTAAACTGAAAATCAGTTTTGAGAGTTATACCTTCCACTTCAGAGCCCAAGGTCTGCTCCTTGATGCGTGCTTTGAAAAGCAAGGAGTTTATCTCTCTAAAAGTCAATTATCAGAGGTTGTAATGAGCAGGCTTTTTTGGAACCTTGAAAAGCAGTTTCCTGGTATCTAAATCTCTTAACTGCTTCACTTTCTGTTATGCAGAGCATTACTTTGTTGAGTAGAAAGCCAGCATAGCTCTGGCAGATTTAATGTGAAGAGACCTGTTGTATGCTGACCTTCGGCGATCTCTGGTGCTCTGCTCTGTCCTCTTCACCTCACCACTGTGTCATTTGTTTAAAATGGCACAGAAGTTAGAAAAGGAAATTGAAAGCAACCTCAAAAGGTTCTGTTTCACTCATTATTGCATTTAGTACAAAATAAGTCACTTTGGTACACAGTGGCTTGACAAATACTGTTTGTGAATATCCATAATGCAATGTATGATAACTATGGATGAGAGGATTTGAACTTTAAAAATGTCATTCTTGGTCATTTTGACCTATTATTTACAGTCAATTACACATTCTCTCTGCTGTGGCTTGGTTATATTAGATCAATAGTTTTGCCATTTTACAGGGGGAAAAGAGGATTTTCTCTGATGTATGAACACAGTCATTAGTATAGTCTGTGCATTTCCCAGAAGGAACATCCTTGTGGTACAGTGGTAGGAAATGTCACAACACTTCAGATTGATGGAAGATACATAAGAAATCTTTCAGCTAAATAAAAGATAATATTTCCCTTCTAGTAAGTGGAGTGTTCCTGCCAGTACTGATATGTCTTTCCATCGATGAAGACAAATTCTTCTCAGTGACAAAACTCTGGAAAATCTTGAAGTACGAAAAGTCACTTTTAAATAGCATGCACTGTAAGGTTGCAGAAAGAACAACCCTCCCATAATGTGAAAAAATAATTCAGAGGAAGAAGAAATTTAGCATACTGCAACCCCAAGGACTGCAGATACAAAAGGGGCATAAACACTTTGAAACCCTATATTAAAAAATTATGTGTTCCATAAGGGTTTATTTCCTAACTTTCCAAGTATATAGAAAATAAGACCACTTCATATGAATGTAGGCTCTTTGATCTAAATACTCCAATTACTGCCAAATTAAATCTTTTAATAATTAAATAATAATTGCAGATATATGTTTGCCTTATATGGATAATAAATGTACTTAATACAGTATTTCCAGAGTGTTATATCTAGAAAGTCCTCTATATGTTTGAAAACCAAATGTTTATTTACCTGCAATTAATTTTTCAGACACATTCCATTCTCTGTGAGACTTAGCCCCTTCTCAAATCTCAAGGTGAAAATGGTGATTGTTACAAGCTCTAATAATAGCCAGGAGACTGAAATCACAAAACAGAAATCAGCATTTTTAGGAGAAGGTTCTGAGCTCTGTGTTTTCTGATATGACTAAGATATTTCAGATAAGTTTACAATTTATATACTTTCAGTGGTGTCCTTCAAAGTATATTGAAAATTTTAGGTCATCTTTCTGTCAAAATTGCATCCAAATCAAAACAAAGAACTGCATAAAAATGTGATTATTCTTCATAAATTGTAGAGATTATGCTATGCAAATCTTTTTTCATCTGGTTTTTAACTTCCTTGGAAATTAAACCAATAAAATATATATTGTGTTTGATGTTTCTGCTGGTGATGGTTGCATTCCTAACCTTCAGGCTTATGAGGTGCTCAGTTCTGCTTGGAGGCATGGCTGGGCACAGGGATGACGTGGCTCAGGACTGAAGGGATGTTTCATTGCTGCTGGGATTCACAGGTGAGGTGTTCCCTCCATCTGTGTAGCCACATGTCAATCAGCTGCACACTCAGGCCCTGCATAAAATGAGCTCATAATCACTGGTTTCCTTTAAAATATGTACAGTCAGTCCTGTTGAATCCATCTCTGTTATCCAGAGGCTGGAGCTTTCACCAAGGGTGAGATGGTGAGACGAGATGGTTTATTTCCCTCTCCTTTGCCTGGAGGAATCCAACAGTGTTTTTCCTCACTGTCTAACCTGTCAGTCAGGAGGGAAGACTAAACAGGAGTTGGTGTGTGTAGGAATCACAGGGAAGGCTTGTCCCTCCCTTCCCATAAGGTTTATGTGGAAATGATCTGTGACTCACAGGGCCAGCAGGAGACAGACATGAGCACAGTGAGGCAGCATCCACACATGACTTCGAGCTAATTGTTCATGCATTTTTTGATTCAGAGTGTGGGAGGGGAAGAAGAGCAGAACTCTGCAACACAACGGGTAGGTCACGCCAATGGAGGTGAAATGTGGGTACAGCCCTGTCTCTGCATTATACAGCTGTCATGAGGCAACTGCTGGGGGAAAACATAGGCATAGCCCCCAGAGAGGGGAGGAGAAGGCAGAGTGCTCCTTTCCACTGGGATTTTTGAGACACTTCATTTGCAGAGGAAGCCTTGTCTCCTTCCTCTGGCCACCAGTGTGTAATTAAAAGGTGAAACTTCATCAAGACCAGAGAAGAACCTCTCAAGTGTGTTTCAAAATAGGCCATTAGGGGAAATATGAGTTATAGTCATCAAAAGATGAAATCAAAATGTACCTATATTTCTGACCTCTTGGTAGGTGTGCCAGTGGCAAGGCCAGAGTGAACAGGAAAAATTTTGGGAGAGAAAGAAAAGTGGCATTTTCTATAGTCAGAGTTTCAGAGAAAGTTGTGATGCACATGCGTTCATCACCCAGTTTGTGATTTTTTTTCCCCCAGAAAATAAAGGATGTAGGTATCCTTAGGCCCATAATTCACTTTCTGAGAACTCAGAGTAAGTCATTGACAGAGAGGTGCCTCTAAGGCAAGGCACCATTTAAGAGGCTTCTCCTCCCTCCTTTTCATGCCGACCAGTTTTCTTTGCTAGTCACTTGGTTAGGTGGTGGTTATGGGCCCTTTCCATTGGAAAAGAAAATAGGCAGTTTTCCTGCATGAGGAGTGAAGTGACTCACTCAGCACTATGGACAGGGAGAGATGTTAGGGAAGTTTGAAATGGGGCATCTTTGAGCATCACTGTCATGGGCAGAGTACATCAGAAACTTTCCTAATAATCCCAGAAATATGTGTTACAGAAAAAGTTAGTAATTTTTCTGCTGGTGCTGTGAAGTCTTTCTCTAAGGATGATATTCAAGAACTGTGCTGTTGGGGAACAGATTATTGCAAAGGCAGGATGGGGAAAGGAGAGAAACAAAAAAATTGCATGTTGTAGCATTTGCCACTCAGAATTGCT